AAAGCATGATTTASTTCATCTCTTCTGCTTGCAATGGTTTGTTGGGACCCAGGCCCTTGCAGCAGTGGTGCCAAGATCACCCTCCTGAGCCCCATAGGCGGCTTGGGGCACGTGGGGCAGCCTGGCAAGGGCCTCCCCACATGCAGGGTAGCCCCGGGCAAGCACCGTGGGGGCTTTGCCGGGTGTCCCAGCAGATGAGAGATGTTTTTCTTGTTTTCCCTCTCCTGTGACAGAGACACTGTGTTATCGCATCTCTAATTAGATGTTTGGAGCATCACTGCTGGTTAAATTTGCATTTGATAAAACTTTCCCAATCCACAGGAGGAAAGTTTAGGGTTGTAGCAGATAGCAGATTGTTGTTTAATCCTTAATTCTTTGACTAGAATTTGTGTAGTTTTGGTGATAGTCATTTTTCTTCGCAAACTCCAAACCTGGTTCTGCAGATTTGCAGTAATTTCTCGTTCATTTGATCATTTGGATGGGACCTAAGCTGATCAATGTGCCTGAGCGTATGTGATCTGATTATCTTTTGTGTCTTTGACTGCTTGACAGACTCCGTTTCTTCATATTTGGGAATGAGGGAAAGACCTCTGGATTTGCATGGTCTGGTACCTTGCCATACTTGGGTGTGTGAATGAAAAAAATAGGTGAGATAGATCCCTCTCTTCTAGAGGGAGGCTGCCCAAGCTCTGCTGAGCATCGCTGAAGAGCCACAGTCTGCTGGGCTGTCTGCACAGAGAGGAATGTGTTGTAGGGGTGCAGATTCCCCTCTCACAGACCCCGTTTGTCTCCTTCTCTTCCCATATAAGCCTGTTGTCTTGGTGTGCAGGTGTCTCCTCGGAGTGGAGGCCATTGCAGAGCTATGAGGTGAGCTCAGAAGTGAGCCTGGATGCTCCTCTAGGATTTGTACCGAGGTCTCAGTGCATGTGGTGGCAGCTGAAGACCCCTGTACCAGCAGGTGTGTCAAGTTGGAAACCCAGCTCTCTCATCAACAACCACCTGAAACTCCTCTGAATAAAATTTAATCAAGATCTGCTTATATTTAGTCCAGGTGGCCAAGTCTTTTTGCAGCTGTCTCTCATTGCTTACACTGCAAAGGTTTCTTGAGCTCGTTGCTTCACCTCAGAACTATAAAGGAAGAAGGAACTAGGAACTTTTGGCTGGTGGAGGCAGTGCTGGTGTGAAAGATGTGCAGAAGCTGAGCTGCTGGGCATACCAGTGGGAGGAACCTGTCTCTGCAGCCTCCCTTTCCTCTGCTGAAGGAGGTGAAGGTGACACACGTTCACCCTTGGAGGAAAGCTTCTGGTCCAGCACCTTTCAGCACTAATGAGAAACCTCCTGTAAGATGGGATGCAGCCTGTGTGCACCTATGGATTGCATATGCTGTTCCCATGTGAGGAAGATCCAACTCCATGTGAGGAAGAACCTCTTTACTGGGAGGGTGACAGAGACCTGGAACAGGCTGCCTGGGGAGGTTGTGGAGTCTCCTTCCCTGCAGATCTTCCAAACCTGCCTGGATGCTGCCCTGTGCTGGAGCAGGGACTAGATGATCTCTTGGACTAGATGATCTCTAGGGCTCCCTTTCAACCTCAACCATTCTGTGATTCCTGGGGAAACTGAGATAAAGCAGTGCAGTAATGACAGGCACTTCCAGCAAGCCGGTCCCTCTGCTAACTGTGAGTTGTTCAGTGTTTTTCACCCCCTAGAAACACTGCAGCACATTCTTTACRCTTCTGCCTTATTGTGGATGACTACCTAGGCAGCAGCTAAGGGGCTTTGAATCCCCTTCTACTTCACATCCATTGCTCCTGGTGAGGGGTTGCTCTGTTGGGCTACCCATGTGGCTCTTCAGGTTGATGCAAAGGCAGACTGAAGCCAAGAGATGAGGAGAGGGGAGGATCCTTCTGCCTTGTTTATTGCTCTCAGCCATCCAAGGAATTAATTGTTTCAGGCAGCAAGAAGTTGGCTGTTGTCATCAAGAAGCCTGGTCTGATCCTTTGTGTACCAGCATCACATTCATYCCTCACACAGTCATGCAGTGTTTGCATCGATGCCTCCAGCAACATCTGTGTGGTTGATCAGTTCAAGGTTCTCATGAGATGGCAGTACAGGGAAAGTGATGCTGAAGAACCAAAGCCAGCAGAGAGRATCCCATGTCCTTCCTGTGGACACAGGAATGCCCTATCCCTGCGTGGGAAGATTGTTCTGTTGACAGTGATTGCTTTTATCTTCATGGGGGGAAGTAAATGTCCAATGGAACAAGTTCTCCAGCTGTTCTGCATTCCCCTGCCTTTTGGTCTAATAGGACAGAGTAACCCTCTTCCTGGCCTCTCTTGTCGCCTCCAGATGTACTCAATCCCCTAGCCCATAAAGTCATAGACTACAGAACTGAAGCCTTTGGGCTTTATAGATTTAAGTCAGACAAAATTTAGGAAAACTGGGTGTGAAAATGAGGTCTAGATCACCAGGCTCCTTCTCCCATTCCAGGTAAGTTGTTCATTATGGAGGTGATGGGTGGTGGGTGCCTTTCAGCTGTGTTTAACTAGGCTGCAGTCCTGTCTCCAGTAGAGCAGCTTGATACCATAAGGGAGTGCAGTAACTGCTGGAGATCAAGGGTTCGCTGCTCTGTCCCGTGAACACGAGGCCGTAAAACTGCAGGGACCTCCTCAGAGGAAAGATGTCCAGGGTGCAGTGCTGAGGCCCTGGCTGCAGACCCTGCCAGTGACCAGAGGCAGGGGAGGCTTTGGGTTTGTTCAGATGATGACTGCCCCAGCCTAATGCTTAGGCGCTTGATGCTGCCACCTGCTTTCATAGTCTTAAGTTTCTAAGACTTATTATTTCACTTTAGGAGACCGCAGGTGTCTTCCAGCCCCTTGTTGAAGGAGCTCAGCRTGACCTAGCAATGAAATTTGAGAACAGGATGTAAGCAGCAACTTCTCAGGGTGTAAGTGAGCACACATGCACATGCATCTCGGGCCAAAGTAGCAAAGTGCTTTGGTGTTAACAGGCAACATGGACATTTAGTGGGAATTACTCATGTAATTTCTTCCCTGTTGGTTTCTCACACTGACAGGTACTTTTTTGCATGCACTTTCAAGGACCAAATATCACAACAGCACAACTAGTAGCCTTGTAAACACAAGTCTGTTACTGTATGATCACACAGTCCTTGTGCATTGCTGCAGGGTTTCTGTGTACCTTYTCCCAGCGTTTCCTGCTGTCCGTCCTTAGCTTGTCAGACTTGCTAGAAGGCCCTTACCTTTCCCATGGCTGGTCTGTGCACAYAGCTCCCTGCAAAGCTGAGCCACGTTCCTGGAGTGCTCTGCTTCCAGCATCAGGCTTTGCAGTGAAATAGTCTTGTCTCAAGGGGTTGATTATAGACTCACCTTAGTGAGTGAGTGTCTCATACCATGAAGCTGCACTATGCATTATAATTTTTGCATTCCTGTCATCTCTGTGGTCAGATAAGCAGCGCATGGGACATAGGTAACTCCAAGTTTTTTCTGTGGGGACTGGAGTTTACTTGGGAGCAGCCTATTCAACAGCAAATAATACATGTAGGAGAGCTCAGACCAAAGGGGACTGTTAGGTCATGTGTATGATGTGCAATACAGGCTATATATCTTGCCCAGGAACTTGAAGTATCTTCTAGAGAGGAAACCTAATGTCTGAAGCCATGAGGAGACTGAAAACCTGTTGGCTTGTTCTACTGGTCAGTCAGTTTTCTCTCTTGAAAAACATATTTCTAAATTGATTTTTTTCCTGCCAGTTTTGCAGTCCCTGCCTCATGTTTTGCCTTCTGGGCTTACCTTAAGAGCCCTTTACTCCCTCTGCCACTCACTGTGAAAATATATGCTGTAAAATATATGTTGTAGTTTTTGAAAAGTTCTTGCATCTTTCTGCCAAGGTGTAATGGAAGATGTAAATCTGAGAACCGGAAAAAATGCATTTTGGTTATCTTTTGGAGATGATTTTCTGAGCTTTTCAATCTGATTTTTATAATATAAATGCATGCACTATATGCAGTATCTTAGTTTTGATCTCATTGATGTTTTAAAAAAGATTAAAAACACAAGTCCTTCCCTGATTTTCCTACCTCAGGGTCTCATTTGCTCTCTTCCCTCAGGATCTCATGGTGAGCTGCTGGGCTACTTTGGCACTATTTGTCAGCCCCTCTGTTTATTCTTTAACTGAGCCAAGTGGTTATTTTTCCCACGACAGCCCCTCCCCACCACATCTAGACAACTTCAGTGCAAGCAGGTGGGTGTCCTGCAGAGTTCGGGACACCAGAGGGCTGGAACAGAGAAGGAGCCTTCTCTACGTGRCGTGGAGAGTGGTGCCCTCGCTGCTGCCGCGGTGAAGCTGCCGACAGGGCCGAAGTGCAGGCTGGCGGCAGGCTGCTGGGAGGCAGCAGCGGCTGCTCGGGGCCAGGCAGCCTCTGTGTGGACAGATGAGCTGCCACCGTCCCACTCAAGCTGCAACCGTCCCCTTCGGGGGGACGGCACCGCAGGCTCGGGCTCCTACATCGGAGCTGCATGTGCATCCAGCAGTGGAGATCTTGCACAGGGAAACAAGCCTGTGCATTTGAGGAGCAGGGGGGCAGTGCCCTGCAGGCCCATGAGCTGGAGCTGCAGCCCAGGGAGGGCCGTGGGGCTGCCGAGATCTCAGCTTGAGCTCAGCCTGAGCAGAGCTCAGCTCAGCACTGCCCGGCAAACCTCCCTTCCCAAGGGAGGCTCTCACTGAAGTATGAGGCTTCGACAGCGCCAGCTTCTGCAACACTTTATTATGTTTTTTCCATGCACAACACAGGAAACACGGGAAAGGAACAAAACAGTAACGCTGCTGCAGGAGGTGAATCAGAGACCGGCGCAGGGCAGGCTGAACGCTTGGGCAGCCACACGCCGAAATCTCCATCTTCAGAAACAGCCTGTTTGTATCCATTATTTCCTTGGGCTCCTGACATGGTCCTGAGTCATCCTCTTCTGGCAAAGAAGACTTCACATGCACCTGGGCACATTTTGAAGGGTCTGCAGAGGGGCAGATTCACGTTGACGCGCGGGCAGYGCGGAGCTGCAGGCTGGGCACAGACCCGCATGCCCACAGAAACCCACGGATGGTGGTGGTGCAAAACTGCTGCTCAGCTCCTGCCGCCGCTCCGGACTTCCTGCTGAACCTGGGGAAGGGCTGCTCTTGCTACCCAAAGGTGGAGCGTTTGATACAGAAGGACCTAATCTTGGTAACAGCCTCTTAGCTCCTGGCCAGATTCAGGGAGGTAATGCAGTGAAAGGAGGAAACAGCAGTTTAATAAAATCTGCAGGTGATACGAAACTGGTAAAGGAAAATGTAGAAATATGACAGATACAGAAAACAAAAAACAGCATAATGATGTTCCTGTGCAACTAGTTAGTTTGGAAAAAGTTACCCAAGACTTTAAAGGGAAGGAAAGTCAGTGGGAACAGGGCAAGAGTGGATGAACAGAAGCAATGGAATCTGAGCACCGCAGAGCAGCACGGGCTGGAGCTGCAAAGGGATGAAATCCTCATTGTCCGGCATGTACCTGATGTGCTCCATGGACGATGAACCCCGGACATTGCTACCAGGTGTAACACAGGCAGTGGTTCATGCTGCTACCAAGGGAATGAGCTATGGTCCCCTTTAAAGTAAATTTGCTAGAAGATGCCCCAAAAGCCTGTTTTAATCTAATTGGTTACCCTAATCATCATCAGAGGAATCATCGCAAATAAAGTGCAAAAATAATGGCTGAGGCAGAACAGCTCACGTTGGGGCAGATGAGAGCAGGCAGGAAGATGAAGAGAGAAACAAGGAAAGGCTGCTCAGAAACAACTTCACCAGCAGCACCGGGTCTGCATCTACGGAAAGGGCAGGGGCAGTGAAATGGTTTGTGGCTCTTATAGGGAAAAAAAAAATCAAGTAAATTAGCCTAAATGCACAGGGAAAGTTTCCAAGTTTCCTGCCTCTAGGACAGGCTGACAGAAATAGAACACCAAACTGTTTCACAGTGAGGCCCCAGTGGTAACGGCACAACTGTTACACACCAGGGAGCGACAGGTGGGGAACAGGGAAAGGGGAAAAGCTGCTGCACTGAACGTGCTCCCCGCAGGACCGCGGCACCTGCCTGTTCTCACGGCGCCGGAGGTGCCTGTGCCTGGGAAACCCGTGCCGGGGGAGGACAGCGCGGCCCCTCGGCGCCTTGCAGGGCAGGAGCCCTCCGCGCGCCGGCCCTGCGCCTGTGACACCRGCCTCCCGTCCTCACCGAGCCCCCKGCGGAGCTCACGGTCCAGCAGTGCAAACTAGTGGCAGCACCCCCTCCGCCTGCCCCTTGGATCAAAATGCAGAAGACCGTGGGCAGCAGCAAGGTAACGTTGGGAGAGCTCTGGGCGTTGTAAACACGAACAGCATTTCATGGGTGCAGACCCGCACGCAGACCCCGTGCTCCCTCCCRCACACACACCTGGAGGTGCTTCCTCGAGGGGAAGCCCCTCGCAGCTCTGCTTCATCCTGGCTCCCCTTGCTTCCTTCAGCACGCCTGCTAACGCTCCCCGTATTTCCTGACATTTATCAGCCCTTGCTACAGGCTGTTCTTGTTTTCAAGCTGGCGGGAAGGGGGGACAGGGCGCAGGGCATCACAGGATGCTCAGCGTGTGCGCAGCTTCACGTGCTCGAAAGCTCTGAGCAGATTTACGAGCTGATTACAGCCCGGGCGGCAGCTCTGCACAGAGCACAGGGTGGTTTTGCACCACGAGCAATCTCAGCCTCTCCTGCCGAAGGAGCAGCCRCGGAGCAGGGACCGCGCGAGCACTGGGGTCCCCAGCGGTACGGGACAGGCTCACCTCAACTCCCGCTGCGGCACCGCGGCCAGGCTGGCTGGGCAGGCGGCAGCCGCGGCGGGAGGCTCTGCTGAGAGAAAGAGCAGCCCAGGGCAGTGCTGGGCTTGTAGAGCTCCCGCTCCCGAAGCCCGTCCAGGCAGCGCAGGGTTCCCACCACGCTGTTAGCCTGAGGTAAAGCAAAGGGCAGTCACGTCTGATTGGAGCACAAGGCACCCTGCGAATCTCCCTTGCTTTGGGGATAACCGGTGGGGCGGGGAGGCAGGAGCCCTGCTGCTGAGTCGTGTCCAGGGAGCCTCGCGCAGCGGGTCCCGCCAGCTCTGGCGCAGCGCCCGGGGCTCCGGCTCAGATCAGGTTGGCCATGCTGGAGGTGGGAGGAAGTCGCCTGTTAGCAGCTAGACGGCCAGAGATGGTGAAGACACTTATTTCGCCTGTGTCCAAGCCTCGAGGAGCAGCTTGGCAGCAGGAGGTGCAGAGCACGTAGAGCAGCAGGGAGAGGAGGATGGTGCTGCCAGCAGCCAAGAGGATGATCCCGCTGGTGAACATGCTGCCCAGCGGCTGGAGGGGGCTGAGCTGCATGCGCGTGGTGGAGAGCACGGTGAGCACGATGCCACAGACGAGCAGCACCAGGGCGCTGAGCAGCAGCACCAGGCAGTCCGAGAAGCCCCCGCTCTTGAGCAGCTCGATCTGGTCCCGGCTGCGGATGCAGTTCATGTCCTGGATGGCAGAGCTCAGCAGCTGCTTCAGCAGCACCAGCAGGGCCAGGAGGCAGAGCGTGGTGCCCACGGCCAGGCGCCACTCTCCGGATCGGCTGCTGGTGCTGTACAGCAGAATGATGCCCCCGATACCGCAGGCCAGGATCAGCACCACTGCCACCCCGTAGCACAGGATGGACTTCTTGGGGTCCTGGAACCACCAGAGCTCCACGTGCTCCTCCAGGATGTTCCTCTGGATGTGGTCGGCGTCTGCGGGCGTGCGGGGAGTGCTCAGCTCTGCCAGCTCCGGCATGGTGAGCGGCTGGGTGGCGTGGGCACCTCGGCACAGTCACAGAGGGGAACCCAGACCTTTACAGCGAAGGGGAGGGCCGAAGCAGTGGCACTTGGAAGGCAGCAGCGTTTCTCAGGCGGGGACGCCCCTGTCTCATCCTTTGGTGCCCTGTGGAGCTCCCTTCTGTGGTGGCAGTGCCACCCAGAGAGCTACGGTCCGTGTGCTGGGGCTGAGCCCTGCCTCCAAGCAGAGATGCAGGCCATGCTGGAGCATCCCCTGGGCAGCGCCGTCGGGGAGTGACCAGGGCCCCGGCCTTCCTTTCCTGAATGTTTCATCTGAAAGAGGCAAGAAGAGAAAAAGAGATTATTAAACAGAGCCCCCAATCCTCTGCACCAAGAAATGCCCTGCCAAGGCGCTGAGCCTCAGGGCGGGCACACAGACCCCAGCCTCCCTCTTGGGCCCCCAGGCCTCCTCCTGCCTTCCCGGGCAGTAGTGCCCGGCACTGCAGCAGGGACATCAGCCCGTCCCGGCAAATTCCCGCTGCGACGGCCTTGCCTGGCGCGTTGCTGCTGCCGGCCCGGGCGCCCTGCGCGGAGGCTACGGGCTCATCGCTGCCGCAGCTGGTGCTGGCAGCAGGGCACAGCGGAGCAGGGGCTGGTGGCCCCTGGGATAAAGCCCCATTCACGGCTCTGACTTCACATGCTCCCTCATCAGCATCAGCCTCTTGTCACCAACTGGCTCTGCTGCCTAGAAGGGCAGCGGGAAGGTGGGGGTCAGGGCTGGAGCTTAACCCTTCCAGCCCAGTGACTGGAACGGTAAGTGCTGGCCTTGCAGCTTGGCCTTGGCCCCAGAGCAGCTCCTCAGCCTTGTCTCTGTCCCTGCAATTCCCATCCCAAGACTCCTGCAGAAACCAGCACAGTGTCCATCCTCACTGTTTCTTCTGGCCGTCAGAGACACTCTCACAAATTGCCCAACATCTCAGAGGGGTCAAGCTGGGGCAGGCACTGATGGAGACCTCAGTGTCTGTCCAAGCTGCGTCAGAGCTCCCAAGTGGAAGGACGGTCACACAGTACCCTGCATGCTAAAAAACCCTCTCCATCAGCCTGTGCCAAACATGCTCCATCTTTATGCCGTACTCAGCATAATGTTGGGACCTAGCCCTTGTTTTGGGGCTCAGTAACAGCAGGCTGTGGCTTTTGCACATGGCAACCCTCCCCTTGCCAGCAGTCTTTTCTAGCTCCCTTATTTCAGACACTGTTTGTAAACAGCATCCCCTTGTGCCAGTGCCTTGCTGTCTGCTAAAGGTAATAGGGCTCTGCCCTGATACACAGACCAGAGCCTGGAAAGGCTGCTGCAGACACTTCCAAAGCAAGGGCTGAGGGTAAAGCCATCTCCTTGGCATCTTCAACAGGGATGCCTAGAAATTCCTCTTCATCAGGGACAAGCCACCATGGGATGGGGAACAATGGGTCAGGGGCGCCCGGACCAGACACAGCCTGACAGTGTCAGGCCAAGCTCCTCCTGAGTCACTCGCGGCTGTGCCGGAGCATGAGGTCACTCGGCCGTGGCTCCGGGCACGCTGCCAGCTGAGCTCACGTGGCCAGGAAGTCTCTCGCCACTGCTTATTTGCAGGCCTGGGCCCTGATGCACTGCGTGAGTTGTGCTCCCTGCTATTTCCCGGCACAACTGGTGGTGGTTGGTTTGTCTTGGCAGGGACTGGAGTGAAACACAGAAATCCCTGCTGCAAAGGGCACGCTCGTTTGGATGCTCTTGGGAGATGTGCCACTCCTTGGTGATCCCAGAATGACCAGAAAGCATTAATGGGTGGAAAAGGCAGCAACGGAGCATGCTGATTCTGTGCCTGCAGGGCCTGCTTCACTTTTGCATGAGACGGGAAAGCCACCTCTTCCTCTCTGCAAAAGTGCCTGTGCCCAGGACACGGGCAGCCAACAAGGTGGTGGCTTCAAGGGGTTCTTTCAAAACAGAGGGGTGAGACAGTATCGAGCCTGGGGTCATTCCCCATGTACACACCACAGCTCAGCCTGGCCTGTGTTAAGCACGACTTCCTCCTCGCCTTTCCTTCTCCTTATCTCTTCTCATTGACAAAAGGGTGAGTCTAGTAAATAGCAGGTTTATTGATAAGATAAACATTTTTGTTCTAATAAAACATAAATCAGAAGTGCAAAGTTTGTGGCCTTCTGTTACTTGACCAAAGTTGCACGTACAATCAGGTTGTGCTTCACACAGTAAACAAAACCAACACAACGGAAGAAACCACAAGGAGAACACGACCAAAAGTCAACCTATAGCATTTCATTGTCAGGCTTTTAAAATTTTAATCACTTCAATTTTTATTTGCCTAGAATAAGGTCAGGAGTAAGATAAAACTGTTAGCACGCCTGCCTGCAGATTGAAATATAGTAAAGTCCTCTACAGGCACATATTTCCTTATACTTTATTAACCTTTATTAAATGAATGTTTTGGAGAAACAAAGACCTCCATTGATGTATGCCTCCATGTTTTCTGCAATCTGTTTGAAAAAGTTCTGGGAAGATAAGCTTTTGCCCTAYGGATAGGCACATTTGCTGGGGCTTCTTTAGACTGTGAGGGTTTGTGTCATTAGTTGCAGTTATTTTTATTCACAGAGTCATTCCTGAGCTTAGGTCCTTTGCCTCCCCCCTTTCACTGCCAACCTCTTGAGAAAAAAAGTGGTTGTCCTTCTGTTTTAAATCAAAGCAGCCCTATCTTGGGGTGTCATCCACCTCTTTGGAGAAAGGATTAAAGTAGACCTCACAGTAACACAGACACTCCCTGAGTTTAAGCCAGCTAACCCATCAGACTAGCCAGTCTGATAATCTGTGTATGGCAGGTCATTGAAGTTTGCCATTTAGCTGGTACTGAACCCTGTACATTCAGTGCTGCCATCCTTGTATGCAAGATAAAAAGGAGGAGAGGACCAGCCCACTGACACAGAGATTTCTAATCAAAGGCCACAATTGAGAAAAAAAATTACAGGCTGTTTTCTTCTACACCACTATCTGGCAGGTGGGGAGGAAAAACAGTAAAGCACTGGAAACTCAGGAAAACTGAAATGATAATGTCTTTCCTTTCCTTTCTTTTTTTCCCCACTCTAGCAAACATTAATTGAGCACTGGGAGTCATGAACTGTTTTCCGACCATCGCTGGCAGCAGGTGCGAGAAACACTCYGTCCAACCTCCTGGAAACAGGTATATGCACTTGCTTATTTATTTATACTCTTTTCATGGCCTGTTTCCCTCTGGTATCTGGCAGATGGGCATGGAGTGTACGTTAATTAACACTTTCTTTTCAGCCAGATACAACCCAGCATTGAAATAATGCTCACCTCCCTCCTCAGCCCCAACCCTGGCCGGTTATGAGACGTTGTTTACCTACAGCATTCGGGAGAGGAAGCCTCGCGGTGGGACAGGCTCCTGCAGCGCTGCCAGCCTCCAGAACGCTTCTAGGCAGCTATGTGGAGTATGGCAGCATTGTGAAGCCTGGGGAAGACCGGCAAGATTTGCTATAAAAGTAAACACACAAACCCGTCATTGTCATTAGCTCTCAGCGAGATTCCATGGAGCCCCGCAATCTCCAACAGATAAAAGTCATCTTCTTCCCTTCTTTCCCCAGGTCTGGCCGTGGTCTCTTTGGGGTGGATTTGTCATTCCTCTGTGCTTCTGTTTCCCCTTACCGAGCCCCACAACTCTATATTCCAGAATAGACATAAATATTTTCCCATCCTTCCGTGACCTTATTCTAACTCTCCAGGAGGCACGAGAATTACATTCATCTGTGTTGTTTTATGTCTGAGCCTGTGCCAAGACACAAAGCAGAAGCTCTGAATGTCATGGTGCTCAAAGCCCTTCAGTGCCCTTGGGATCAGGGACACTGCTGTTTTGGGACACATATGACCGTCAGCCTAGAGGTGGGCAGGGCCCAGCTCTTCTCCTAGGAATTCAGGAACAGAGGAAAGAGGAATCTGCCAGGAATGAGGATATCAGAGCCCTTCAGCAGCATCTGTCTCTCCCAAAGACCTGACAAGATTCATGCTCTCCTTCAGCTGCTACATCAGTTACCAGCTCCCATCGCTTCTCCTTTCTGGGCCAAAGACCAGGCAAACCTATGCTGTCTAACATGTATCTTTGAAGGAAGACCACGCTCTCTGCCCCACAAAAGGGTCATAAGTGAGTATCACAGTATCCCTCCTGCCAGCACTCCTGCCACCAGACATCACCCTGGAAGCCCTGGGTTATGGCAGCATCCTCCCTTCCTTTCACCAAGCCTAGGGGGTCTGCAGACAGGGGAGGCGGGTGGCTTGTTGCAGTAGGGTCTGCGTGCAGATGCTCTGTATGGGAATCTAGATGGCTTTGGCATGTTCCATTATGAAGGGTCCCGATCACCATCCTTTCCATTCAGCGTCCCAACAGCGAAAAGCCTGCCCCAATGCCCGTGCTCAGGGAGGCCTGTGAATCCTACCAGAACATGAAMCACCCAAGTCCTACACGACAAGAGAAGAGGCAAGGGTGTAAAGAAGAGATGGGGGGGTAAAAGTCAGGACCTCTTAAGAAGTTTTCTGAAGCAGCCAACTAACCTGCCTGGGATACTGCTGAAATACGGCCCTTCCCTGCCCTGCACAGGTCCCCGAGCAGAGCCCTTCCTTCCTTGAGGGCAGACGTTCACTCACCTGCAGCTGCCACGTTGCCCACACGCAGTACAGCCCAGCGCCGTTCCCTACACRGGCTCCCGGCCAGCAGCAAGATCTTTCTTCCAGACTTTCCTTCCACTGGATTCAGCTACTAAAGGAGCGCAAGGGTAGCACCTAGCCTGCCCCCTTCCTCCCACATCCACCTGCCAAGGAATCGGMGTTCCTGCCGGCGTCCCTTCCTGGTGCATCCTGGGCAGGCTGTGGGTGCCGATAGGCTGCGCGGCCAGCGATCGCCTCCCGCCCAGGCAGGTGCATTCCCCAGCAGGGAGGCGTCTGGGCCGGCCTGCTGCCGGCCTTGGAGCAGCTCCAGGGCCTACCCCGCCCTCCCCAAGCAGGATCTCTCCACACACCCGTCCTGGAAGGTGCCGCGTTTCCTCCCGGGCACAAGTGAGGGGGTGGCAGGTTTCAGGAGAAGCTCCGAGGCGGCAGGTGAGGGGAAGTTTGCAGCCACGTTGGCAGCGCTAGGGGAGATTCAGCACGTTGTAAGCGAGTGTTGGGTGTTACGTGATGTTGAGCAAGGTACCTCCTGCACTCCTGGCCAGGCTAGGACCATCTGACCACACCAGGAGCGATCTCCGAGCAGCACTGGTCACGCAGGCG